TTTTCCAACTTCAGTGGTAGTTTAAAAGCCATGTGTGACAAAGTCCTAGAGTTTGATACTTAACCGCATGCCCTCCATTGTTTCCAGCTTTTCTTCTACAATAAACCACATCCAATTTAAGATTGGCAGCTTTCTTTTGGCAGGCACTTGTGTTTTTTAAGAGCTATGTATTAGGAATGTTAGCTAATGCTATCATGAGCTCTGAAGGCTACACAATACGATTTCTGGGATTACAGAGGCACCATTCTACTGCCTACTTTGCTTGGGGAACAACAGTAGAAGAAGGCTATTGCTCTCATGTTCAGCTTGTGGACTTCTTTGGGATATTTGGTTGGCCAACATGAGAAACAGGATGCTGGGTTAGATAGGCCAGAAGTAAGCAACCTTGTTTCAGAAATCTGGAACTACACTCTCCCATATTCTTATATTATTGACTATGCTGGTTGAGATTCTGGGTAGGGTTGTTGGATTGAAAACTGGAGAGGGTTCCTGTCCCTTTAATGGTAGTGTAGAAGAGAGAATTTCAGCAATTGTTGCCTTGTCATGCAAGCAAGTAACAAGCACCATTTGCTATAATTCCCTCTTCTGCATACTTGTGAAAGATACAGGAGCCTCCTCAAATTTTCACTGGTAATAATAATAATAATAATAATAAGTTTTATTTCTAGCCCGCCTCTCTGCATTGCAATCGAGGCGGATTACAGCATATAAAATCTAACAAGTTAAAACATAGCCACCGCCCGCAATCTACCTTCCACCCCTTAAAACAGAATTAAATCGAAAAAAGTTAAAACAAAGCAATGCATTAAATGTTAAAACACTATAATATAATAATACAAAGGATCAATTGTGCCAGCACGGAGAAAAGGAGTTAACTCATCTCGTAGCTTTGATAAGGTAGCTTTGATAAGGATGAAACTGGAAACATCTTGAAAGTCAACATCTAGAGTCAGGCCCTTGTTCTAATCTACTGGAGATCCTGCTATGTTCTTATGTTACAGATAAAGCTCCACTTGCTAACTAACTATATGTTTGTAGAATTCAGAGACATAGCTGTGTTAGTCTAGAGTAGACTATCACTATGCAAAGGGTTCTTAAAGCACCTTTGAGACTGTGCAAAAGATGTTGTGCATAAGCTTTTGTAGACTCGTTCTACTTCCTCAGATGCATGGAGTGAAGTGGTGTCCAGGAAGCACTTTTATAACTATATGTTTAGTCATGGAAATGCAAAACTTGTGGGTATGGTAATGAATTACAAGTTCAATTTTAACTATGGTTATTGAGGGCCACACATCTGAGGAAGTAGACAAATCTATGAAAGCTTATGCTACAACTACTTTCACACAGTTAGCTTCAAAGGTGGTACAAGATCCCTTTGCATATTTACTATATGTCTGATATTTGAAAGTTTATGTGGAAGCATCACAACAAGAAAAAGATGCTACTGCATAGAAATCTGGAAGGAACATATCTGAGT